CCCCCCCCCCCAAAAAAAAAAAAAAAAAAGAGGTTTTAGGTACTTTTTGATAAATAGGAAACTTTGCTTCAGGATTTGCAATAGTCCCTGTATATTATTTTCCTAAAATGCTTGAGATACTGAAATATAATTATTGTGCTGATGAGAGACATATTTAATATAAATACAAGTAAAGTATATGTATATAAAGGTGTATTCTTGCTCGTATGGTTGAGGCTGGTGGTGACAACACAGCAAATCAATTATTGTGATATTACAGTATAGTGACATATCATTTACATTAAGATCCCAGTATTCCTTTGCTTTATTGTGTGTTCAGCAAAGCTTTATTAGGACAGAAATTTACAACTACTACAAAGTGGTGCTGGATTCATATCTTTGTCTTGAAAAAAAATGGACATGATGTTGCGTTTTTTCAAAGGTTCACTCTAAAATGAACACACTAATAGAGTATGTGCATATATTTAATTACATATCTGTACACATTTATTCCACAGAATCTCTTCCACTACAAAGATTGGAACATACATAGAAATACAGTTCCTAGTAAATAAACCATTTAAATGCCATAGTACACCTCTATCTGTATATATTTCCACAAAACCAAACCCTTTAAACTACTGGTTTAAGAATCTTAAAGGCAGAGATTGCTGTACTTCATGAAATTCCAGTGATCAAATTGTTTATATAGTGTTCTACTCTGCCTGAAGGCAAAGTCAGAGTGTGCTGGTTTTGTCATAGCTTTGTGTGAACGGTTTGCAGAAATTACTCATTCCTATTGTAATGTAAATAGGTGACAATATGAAAAAAAGCCAGGCTGTTTTCTGCCTGAAATTCATTGCCTTCAGAATTCAACATTTTCAAACCCAGCTAGTGGATTACAGCCATGCAGCTGCCATTCATTTCATCTTGAGTTATGTATCTAATTATTTTAGTCAGGTCTGAAGTATATTCTCTCCAATTTATATTGTCTAGCTAAAGCAGTCAGTGTGGATTATACAAGAAGCAAGCTGAAATGGAGTTTATCACTTTGTCAGTTCAGTCATAAGTTCATTAAAGCCATTATGAAATTTGATATTTAAGTCTTCAGGTACAGAATTTGTCTCAGTGAAGACATGTAAGTCAGGATCCTACTTGTTCTCAGACACGGACATATATTTTTTTAAAGTCACTTCACAGCACAGTTTAAGGCTTAAAGTACAGTTTTCTTTCTGATTTTGTTCCCCTTCTGAAAAAATTACTTGTCATACATATTAACATACACAAAATTACTGATTAACCCTACCTTTTCCCCTTAAAATAACAGTGAGGCTCCTAAGCTGTAGGTAGTAGTCTTTTCCAACAAATTAGTCACAGGTCCACTATCAGCTGTAGAATGTCTAGGTTTTCTATTATCTCATACAATAAAAGGGGGGAAAATATGTTGATTTTTAGGATGGTATTGATTTTTCATTAAAGTTAAGAGCAGATTACTCTCATATCGTCACTGAATACAACTGGGCTAGTTATGGAAGTGAATAATCTATTCCATTGATGGCCAGCTGATCTCTCTTTAGACTGAAGCCTCATTTTACACATCACCCTCTGACAGTTGTGCACGTGTAAAGATAAAACTTTTGAATGCATTTTATCTGACAGTGGCATAAACTGAAAAAAAACCAGAACACTGTCTAATTCATATACAAGATTTTTCAAAATTAGTAAGTAGCTAACTTTCTAACCCATTATACAGAAAGATTATGAAGAGTCAGATCTAGCCTCTTAAAATTAGGGCATGTTCCCCAAGTGATCTGTTTGGTGACCCCTTGCGGTTATGCATGAGAAGATAGAGTTTTGATGAAAAAAATGGCTCATCATAATAAATTCATGCATTTTTAAAGGTTTTATAGAGAGCTAGTATTTCAGGCAAATTTATACATTAGCTTTAGTTAGGAGTCTTGTCTCTGTGATGCTGCAGTTTCTTCTCCATGTCAGATCACATGCAGTTTACATTCCACAAGGTTTCAGCTTTATTTCACAGTTCCCTGCTGTACTTCTTCAGGGACTTGCACTAATTTGAAAGATAAGCTTGTACATTGGAGCTTGAATAAAAAAATCAGTTTGGCCAGAATATGATAAATAATGAGTGCTGGATTTTTTAGTTTGGACTTTCACAGGAACAAGAAAAAAAACATCACAGAATCTGGCCTGGTAATTAGTGACGCTTGCTAAATACAGCGAATTGTGACAGCAAGGTATTTTATCTTTGTCTTTGCTAGATGAATGGAAATTGCATGGGAAAGTTTATTTTCCACATAAAGAAGTTTGTTTCCATAGAGAAACTCATATCTAAGTACCACTGTTTGTAAATGTATATTTATGTGACAATGCTATATAATAGCTAGTTTCCACTAATTTTCACAGCATGAGCTTGTCATGCCAGGGCCCATATGAAGTCAATTATATGATCCCCATTTACCTCAGTGGGAGCTGGATTGAGCTATATAGAGAGTGAAAGAATGGGTCAAATCCACCTTTTTTACATATAAAGAGGGACCAAACTCTTACCCTTGGTAACACCTGCTTCACCTGCTCTTTGCTGTATTCAGCTATTCCTGCTGATGCCCAAGGTACTTTTACAGATGTAACTGAGTTAGAATTTGAGCCCTCTCTGTATTCACATGGCAGACACCTGCATGTGTTTCCTAAAGAATGTAGTGTGAAATGCACTGTAAATAGTTTAAATCTACATTTCTATTATAGTTTAATAAAAATCTTAATCACAGTCACTAGCCACTGAGTTTGTCCATTTGTATTCTTTTATCTTTTAAAAATATTTGAACAAATACATAGTTTCTGGGCACAGTATTTTTTTACTAGTTTAAGGGGGTTACTCTGTATATTATGTTTTGCCTTTAAGCAGTATTAAAGTCTTCTGAATGTGTTCTTACTTGCTTCTGTCCTATGATTACTTAGTAAAACTAGTTACATTACTTAAGAGAATCATTAGTCCTACTTACTGTACAGTTGGTAGAGAATAGAGTCAGGTTATTTTCTATGGTCAGATTGCTGCTTATTACTTATTTCCTCATTCTTCTCTTTGTACTGTTTTCATGCTTTTTAAAATAAAAAGGACAATGTCAAAGTTTACTGTTTGTTAATTAATACTACTAAGGTTGAATTTTCAACACCTCACTGTTCCCAGATTCCAATCATTGCTTCGTAATTTTATATTTTATAATAACTTCTTTAGGTCCCAGAAATCCTGAAGAGAAAAACTCTACTATTAATATCAACATACTAATAGCGTACTACTGAGATGAGCCAGTTGTAAAAGTACTTCTCGTTTAAAAACAGCAAAAAATAATTCACTGCTAATAACCACTAGAGGGCACTGCAGCTACACTTATTATCTGGGAACGATCAGAAACCAATTTATTGGATAAGCGGAACTGCCAAATACAACTGTTACACAGATCCATCCTCATCCTCTGGCCCCAGATATCAATTCCTGGGGTTGCATGAAAGAGAGATGGAATAGTCAACCCAGTGACATCAAACAAAACTCTGAAAAAAATTATTTTTGTCAACAAAAGCCTCATCACGTGCAAAACTGCTGATCCTAGAAGTAATTCTAGACCAGTGGGCTTCTTGGTCATTTCTGGGTTTTGCCTATTAGTTTCTCCACAGCAACACTTCTGGCTTGACTTTTTTTAGCTCTAGGCAAAACCAAAAAGTATGTACATCCCTGACAAACAACAGTCCCATTCAAAAAGTTATGAAGGGCTAGATTTAGTTCAGCACAAAACACAAGCACCGTTTGTTTGAACCAACGGCAGTTTATGAGTTCAACTGAACAACTGTCTATGTATATCTACACATATCAGGTGACTATTGGCTGTTGGGACTACAACCTTTCCAGCCCACTCACCAACCTAGTTGGGCTCCTGCTTAGACTTCACTGGCCTACTGAATGTGTGAATTCATTTCTGAGGACTGGTGCAGTTTTCAGCAGGAGTCCTGGAATACATTTCTTACCAGCCCAGAAAATAATACAACTTTGAACGAGGCCATTTTTATTGAAGAGGTGAAAAAGAATATTACACCTGGTCTTTCACATCTTGCACAACTATGATGCCTTTTTAACAAATGGAAAAGACAATAACTCCTTCCCTCCAGCCATATTTTTAGTATCAGTGATGAAAGCTATTGCTGACATGCATTTCACATTCCTGTGAAATTTCACCCTTTAAGTTTTCTGGAAATAATTCAAATGTGTGAGTTTGCTACAGTAGTAAGTTTTAGGATCTAAATTTATGGAATCTGACAGCCATAGAGTTTTTTAGCCCTTCAGAGAAGAGTAGCATTTCTTAGCATGTACAGAACTTTAGAACTTCAATTTCAGTTGAAAAATATCACAAATTATAAACACAGTAAATTTTCACTTCAGTATTTACAATTCAGAATTTTGAAATACCTAGCTGCATGTTTTGTCCCCATTATTCCAAAGCTCTTATTTTATTTAACATGAAAATTTATTTGTGCACTTCCTGAGAGACTGAACTGTTTGCCGAATAGCTGCATTATTTTCTGTTCTGAATCTGTTAAGATAAAATCCTCTTTCCTGCTGATACATGAGGATAATCAATTCAGTCACAGATTGCTACTGGCCACCCAGTGGTTCATAATGGCTGATAAAATAGATCTCTACTTTAGATGGGTTTCTTTCATTTAACATCATCAAAGTTCTTTAATAAAAACTAGGACTAAAATCGATGGCTAAATCATACCACTAGTATACACAA